CCAAAGGACTTGTATTCATGCATATAAGCCTAACTACTGAACACAGACACCAGGGGGGTGAGGGCATGAGTGTGTGTGTGTGTGTGGGGGGGAGACAATTAGGGGTAATACTTAATTCAATAAAGAAAAAAAGTTTGAAATAAAAAGAAAGCTGGACCACAAAAAAAAGAAAAAAAAAAAAAAGAAAAAAAAAAAGAACAATATGCAAGCTGCAAGTTTCTTGGAAAGGAAGTTGAGTCAACAGCTAGTCATTTCTCTTCTTTCTATTTCTTTCTCATGGAACTCTGTACAAGTGCATTTTTTTCTGCTCTAAATATGAAATCTGGAAATAAATTTATGACACTACTTCACAGATGACTAAAATCTATTGACTATTGTTGCTTGTTCTCATTCATATTAATTTGGTTTATTTTTGAAGCCCGGCTCTTTAGTCATTTAAAGGAATGAACCGAGTTTTGTGGGAGAACAGAAGACAGGACCAATGTATTGGTCTGTGAAGGTTAGTGAAGAGTCCATGGAGGAGGTGACAATTAGAGCTGAATTTTGAACTCAGTAATGAGTGTTTACATCATCTCTGGAATGGACAGACAGCCAAATACCTCATCTGTGCCTCTGGAATGATGCAAAAGAACAACCTCCATTACAATTGCTTAATAACTGTTCTAGAAACCACTGTGTTTTAGTTTCACAGTTTTCATTCATTTACATTAAATCCTTACTATTAAGTTGCCTTATGCCTTTAGTTGAGAAAAAAAATATTGTAAAACATTAATATCCCTCTCACAGGATTAAAAAATCAATCAGATTTTAATTGATCCCAAATTAACCTCAACTAGGGTATCATCATTGTCAAGATTTTAATGTCTTTATTGCTGAGCTGAATGTTTATGACTGTCAGCAGTGAATAAATAATGCAAAAATGAATGGTATAAAATAGTGGGATATGAATTTATATTTACTTGAAATATGCATAATTTTACCAATAAGAGTTTTATTTCAATTTTATATTTTATGACTTCTATTATAAAGCTAGAGAAAATCCAGTCCTCTAGACATTCCTTCAATATTTAGTCAATATTAATTTAATAAATACCTATTGAATGATCTACTCCTTATCAGTTACCTTGTGTACTATGCTAGTTCTAGGAATGGAAAAATCTATTAAATGCATTTTCATTGAAATCTGCTTTGGCTATAAATGAATGATCTTCCATCATTTCAACCTGTGTTTTTTTGTTTTGTTTTGTTTTGTTTTGTTTTAATTAGACCTTGATGGTATTTGAGTAAACATGTAAATTGAAAAAATATTATCTAGTGTCTCCTAGGATTATTAAAATTTTAGATGTTTCATGCAAAGCACCTAGTACTTTACCCTATCTGTTGTAAGTAGTTAACACTTCGTGTTATTATTATCACCGTTGTTACTTCTACTTCTATTACCATTACTACTGTTACTACTACTACTAAACAAGAGCTAAGTTGCATATATAATGTTTGAATTTCATGGATTTGGATTCAAAATAATGAGACTCATATGAGAGTGTTGGCATACAAAATACTGCAAAAAATAGAGAACTTGAAGCAATGATTTAAAAAAATGTGCTACCAATTCTGTTACTAATATAAATAGAGTCTTAGAATTCCTTGGGTAATTTGGTAAAAAAAAAAAATTTTCAGCCAAACTAAATAAAATTTTTATCTTGTATGTGATTTTGATCAATAAGATAGGAGGAGATAATCAATTTAATTAGTTACATCTGTTACTTGAGCAGACAGAATCTTTCTTATTCAAGACAAATTATAAATATGAACTCTTCTTTCATCACGGTTATTCTTTCAGTTAAAGTGTTGACCAATCTATTACTAAATAAATTGGATTCTGTAGAAGCCAATTAAAACCAGCTTTATTCTGCCTTATCACTGTATTCCTCCATGCTCAGTTGAGTCTCCTTGAAATATTTTGGGTTGATCCCAAATCCTTCCTCATCATCTTCAAATGTGAGCTAATTATGTTATGTTCTATTTATAGTAAAAAGTATAGTCAAACCTGAACATTAAACATTAAACCTCTCATTCAATTCAAAGTATTCTTTCTCCCACAGCTCAATCTGAGAAATCTTGTGTTCCACACCTTGGTCTTCTACTCTCCCTTCTCCATTCACTATGGAGTCTCTGGGATCTGTGGGGAGTCAAATGGGAATAGGAAATAGAGGTGAAAGATATAAAGACATAGCTTGAATACTAATTGTGCAATCTGGCAGGAGAGCAATTCTTCAAATGTTGATTAGATCCTCCCCCTGGGAACTTGGGCTTCAGTTCCCTGATGACTTTCTCCTAATACCTCCCACACCACCCATGTTATTTTAGGTCCATTTTATTTTTCTTTGCAATTTGCATTAGAGTTTCAAGGCAATTCAGGGCCATGTTCCTTGATCGGAGTCTACATTTGACTCCAGGAAATAAACTTGTACTTCATCATTGGTGAGAGTGTGATACATTCTCTTTAATATTCCAACAAAGATCCAGCCTTTTATAATTAGCTTACTTTTCAGACATGAGTCAGATTCCTAAATCTCTCAAATTTGAGAAGATACAGGAATTGGTACCAATATGGTTCTCCTGATATTCCCTTCCTCCTCTGTCCGTATGTGTTTTCAAGGTGAACGATGACTAAGAATTATCTGATATATTTTGAGTCATTTCTGGGGAAGTTATGCAACAATGATCAAACAAATCTTTTTTATTGTGAAAGGGTATTAACATCCTTTGTTCTCAGAGTTTTAGGACATCAGCCAAGATGGAGACAGCAGGAATTGTCCCTTTTAACATCGGGATTTAGAGATTAATTTATTATATTTATTCCTTTGTTTAAATGTTCATTTGAGGAGAAAGATTATGTCTTATGCAACATTCTACTATTGTAACAAAGAGCATAGTGCCTTGCATATATTATGTTTTCAATAAATATTCACTAGCTAATTCTATAGCTAATAGTAGTTTAACCATTTCTTTATTCTACCAAAATAAAGACAGGTAATTCTTCATTATTAGATTTAGTCTGGTGTGTGGCAGGAAAGAGGTAACATATTCAAAGGTTTGAACTAAGGAAAGATCAATGAAAGAACCAATTCTAGTAGTGGGAAGCCAACAACATTAACATAAAATAATAGAACATTTTAATAAAATTAATATTTTTTTCTTGAACATTAACTTACCAAATGTGGAGAGCGGCTACAGCATTTGGACATATTCAAGCTTGGGACTAATGAGAGGGCATGATCCTCTCCCCACAAAGCCACATTCAACTCCCAGCACAATTATAGCCAAAGGCTATATTTGTAAGCTTGAACCTAGGGTCGGAACCTGTGGTCCCAAGGTGGCTGAGTGCTGTGGGCTTGATAGAGTTCAGGCGCATGTAATTGAGTAGATTCGAAACCCAAAAGAACATTGTAAACATCTTGACCACACCCTTACTTTGCCTCCTGGAATCAGGCTATAAAATAGATTCAGCTTGCAGGCTGTGTCATTGTCTCTCCATCAGAGAGCGCAGTGTCCCACTCAGACCCAGCTTTCTTCTCTTGTCTGTCTTTTCTTAATCCTTCACCATCCCCTCTCAGGCTCATCCATGGCTGTGTGGACTAGGCACAATCAAATACTGAATAACTGCATAAATCAATAAGAATAAGGCAAATAAACCTATTTTTCTTGTTTTCCAAAAGCGAAATATTTCCTGTTGCGCACACTAAACAAGTCAGTGCAAGACTAATGATGATCAATCAGCTGCTAAAATATTTACTGCCAGTATTAGTAGAAAGAAATGGTGTGCCTGCACATAAGGTGCATAAGGGAAATGAATGCAACATGATTATAGTAACCAGTCATTAGCAAACGTTGTAGTTCATTATTAATAATTATGTACAATAGGATATTGTAAAAATTAAGTTATGGAATTTTTATTAAAACATTTCTTACATACCTTTATATGGGCTGGGCCACAAATATATTCATTGTGGGTCACATGGGAGCTGCGGGCCACAAGTTTGACATGCTTGCTGTAGATCCAAGAAGAGAATGTTATCACCGTGACTGCCTTTTATGTGTCTTCTTAAGACATGAAAATCTCTCCATGGAGTTCAAGAGCCAACTCCTAGGCAGTGCTCCCAGACTGCAGGCCATGGAGATAGTGATCAGAGGAACTCTTTGCTCCTGCCTAAGCCTGGCTTCTGGGAGCTCTTCTCTGCATGGCTTAGTCCCCCACACACCCACACTACCCACCCCCAGTCCTTCTCATCCTCTGTCTCTGCTTCTGTGGACTCACAATGCTCCAGCTCTGAAAGGAGCAGCTGGGCCCAGTTGCTCTAGGTCTGAGCTGGTTCTGTAGATCCAAGGAAGATGGGAGGCAGATGGGCGTGGCCCTGTGTGGGTAATGGCAGGCCACTTTCCATGGCTAGTGGAATAGTCAGTCATGGACAAATCTTCCATGCCCTCTTTTTCTCTTCTATAATACTCTCTGAGTCATCTTTTTGTAATCAGTTCAGTATATTCTGTCGAACTAAATCAGGTCTGTGAATGAGCTTTTTCATTGTAATGAAAGGGGTTAAATTTTATCAGCCATGGAATTTCTATCACCTTCTCTTGGATCTCAGAGAACCTAATGGAGGCTCCTAGAGGCAGGTCCTGAGCCTACGGGCTTCAGTCTCCTGGATGGAGAGTGACAAGTGGAGAGGACCCATTCTTTATTTTCCTGTTTGACCACCTAATAACTGCCTGTGATTTTCATATGCCTTTACACTTGACCACATGTAACATCTTCCATCCTGATGATAAGCAAGATCATATGGTCCTCTTAGGCATTTTTGTAGGAGAGACTATTAAGGATCAGAGAATGGGAGTGACTTGTCCAAGGTCCCACACTACCAAAATGTCCTCTGCCATACCAGGGCCCAAGCAACCTAGAGAAGTCACCCAGACTCACACAGGCTTGAGGAAGATAAGGAAACTCTCCACCATCTTTAGCAGGCCATGCTTGTCAATCTTGTCATCAAGGTTTGATGTATTTGTGGAACAGGATGACCAAGTCCATCATGGACTGCTCAACTGGAGTATGACTCATCTTGGTTTTTAAGGAAGCTACCAGAGAGAAAGATAGGGACCTTCATTGTTCTCTCCCCCACCCCCAATCCCCAGGTGAGGATCCCTAAGTCAGGACAATGGGGTGGGAACTGAGCATCCAGTGAAGTGAGGTTCAGGTGGAGCAGAAGGAACTGTATCACACCAGCAGATGGTCACAAGGAGGAGAGTGTGACCAAGACTGGGACCTGAACCCATGCAGGTCAGAGTCCAGAGGAGATGGAGGAGAATACAGAAGACAGAAGCAGAGAGGATAGGGACCAACCACACAGAAAAGGACTGAAGTTTTAATTGGGACTTGAGCCAATTACAGCATTTGGATGACTCCATTCTTCAAGAGCATCAATAGCATCTCTTCTAGTGTCAATGTCAGGGTTATAGTCATGGCATAGTGACCAGAGCGACTATTTGCTCCTGCCTAACCCTAGCCTCTCCAGCCTCTAGAAGCTCTTCTCTGTGTGGCTTATGCCTCCCCAACTCCCCAGCCTCTCCTAGACCTCTCCTTCATCTCTCCACCTCAGTGGGTTCAAGGTGCTCCTGCTGTGAATGGAGAAGCTGCCCTGATGCTCCAGGTCTGGGCCTGGAATGTTGTGCTCTATGGAAGCTAGCAACATCATCAGGCAGGGAAATTCTGGAGGATGAATTAAATCCTGACAGTACTGGTCCTGCCAAATGTCCAGGATGGAGGAGATGGCCCTAGGGAGAGAGATAGGTGAGCAGCCGAGTCTGAGGCCAAGGCTTTCCTTCCACATTGCCTTCCCAGAGCACCACTCAGAGAGTCTGGGGTCTTGTTCTTCCTGCTCTTGCCTATTCAGAAGCCCTACCTATCCCTTGTTCACCTTCAACCTGGCAGTGCTGGCAGAGATGAGTCTGATCACCCAGGAGGGCCTGGCAGAAAAGTTATTTTAACTGAGATCACTTGATCATGAGGTGACCATCTGTCCCCTTCTTCAGAGGAACCTGACATGCTTTCTCATTGTCCCTGCCCCATCCCACAACAATTCCATGAGGACACGGAGTGCAGGTGTCTTCTGTGTTCATGGCACTTATTGGCACATAGTAGGTGCTCCAGGAATATCTGGCCAGTGAGTGAACAAAATAACTTTGTCTCTACCCCTGGCTTCCCAGAGCCCTCCTAACACCTCAAACTTTGGCTCCTGCACCTACGTGCTATCAAATTCACTGGCTTTCCTGTGGGGTTGGTCTCCTCCCACTGGCACTCAACTCCCACAAGGCGGGGAGCACCAGCCAAGCTGCCACTGTGGGAGTTCTATCAGATTAGTGAGCAGGGACCCTGGATTGGGGTGGAGGCAGGGTTGGGACTAGAAGGGGTTGGGTATGGATTTTATGACGAGATGACTCTGCCACTGACCTCCCCAATGCCCTCCCGCACCAGCCAAAACCACATACAAGCTCTTTTATTTCTAGAAGAAGTCCTCAGACCTCTATCCTCTTGCAGAAATCCCATGATGTGTGGGATTCAGGGTTCTTCCAGCACCTTCAAATCAGTCCCCATACTACCCTCATGGCTCTGATCCAAAGCCCACTCACTCTTTTTGCTGGTCAGGAGGTCCACCATCCTCTTCACAATATGGGAAGATGCAGCCACACACAGAGGAGGCCAGGAGGATGTCACATTGACTGTCCTGTGGACACTACCTGCATGTGCAGCTGGTGTGACTGAATCACTCCTGACTAGAAGGAAGCTCTGGAGTGCAGGGTTGGAGTCTGCTTTGTGCCTAGAGACATATCTGTACCAGGTAGGGCTTCTAATTCACAACTCATACCCAGAATATTTGAATATACAATACATATTGTTTATCCTCAAATCTTTTGCAGTTAACTAAAGATCTTGACAGGTGTAATAGATATATTTGGAAGGAACTTTTGCACTGCCTTCCCTTCTAGTTAAAATAAAAGTATTGTGCCTCTTTGTCTCAAGTTGGTTTAGATAAGTACCTGTGGGAAGGCAGCTATCTCAAGAATTACACACAGGAAAGGGGTCCCATACCCCAACCTGTGTCAGCTCATCTCAGCAAGGAGGAAGTATAAATAAGCAATGGCTTTTCCAAGTCAAATAAACTACCTAAATAAACAACTTAACACATGTAAGGCATTAGGTTAGAAAAAGTACTTGATCAGAAGACTAATAAGACATCCGAACATCCATTCTATATTACTATACAGTTGAAAAGTTGTCAAGGAATGGTACATAGTTGTTTGGCAAAAGTATTGCAAAAAAGTATTTTCTGTAATAATTGAGAAGACAAAGTTTCCTTCAGGTACAAGTGAAGAGGAATAGGAAGGTCTCAGGGAAAACAAACACATATTAAAAAAAAAAAAAAACTTAGCCTGGGGCAAGTAAGGTAGAAAAAAATAACTGTTCTTGAAGATGCTCTCTGCAACATAATGTATGGCATCCAGATAGGCATGAGATATGTTCTAATGAATGCTGTATAATAATAATAATAATAATAATGATAATAAAACACTTATTTAAACCTTACCACATGCCAGTCACTTTTATGAATCCTTGCTACTCTAAGTATAGTTCACAGATCTAACATTATCTAGAGCTTGTTAGAAATGCAGAACTTCTATCCTCACTTCAGTCTTACTGAAACAAAATTTACATTTTCACAAGATTCCCTGGTGATTCACATGCACATTGACGTTTCAGAAGGGATGTATCAGAATGTTTTCCTTAGTTAGTCCTCACAGCAACAATAAAGGAAGATACCATTATTATACCCATTTTATAGAGGAGAGAACTGAGGCATGAAGAGGACAAATAAATTGAATTTGCTACACTCTTGCAGTGAGTGAGTAGCAGAGCAGAATTCAAACCCATGAACCCAGAGCCCATGCCCACAGGGGCTACATTATTCAGTTCCCTTGATTGGCTCACAGTGGTCACAAGAAACTCATGAGCCATTGCCAGTTGGGTTTGTCCAAATATTATCCTTCAATAGCATTTACATTTCTTCTTTTGATTTAGGACTAGGGGAAAGTTTCAGAGTATCCACTGAGAACAGAGCTAGCCAGAGTCTGAAATGAGAACTAAATGCCAGCTGCTCTCTAGAACATTCTAAAGGTAATAAATATGCAGCTGATTGTAAATAATAAATGGTGTGACTCTGTTTAATTTCTTCCTAGGTAGTGGGGAAACCCTTAGAGGTGAGTGTGGCTAAAGCAAATGTTTTCTCTTGGGGTCAGGTTGGGCATTGTTCTCTGGGCCCTCTCTTTGCTGTCATTGTCAGGTGCCACAGCAATAATTTTTTTTTTTTTCTTACAGGAGTCAGAATTCTAATGGCAGAGAAGTCTCAGTCTCCCATCTGCACTTGCTTACAATTCAAACTAAGTTCTGCCTTAACGTACTTAATGACGCCTAAATTTAAGTGGCGACCTTCTATTTTAAGGACACTCTGCAAAGTTCTCAATGTCTCTTTTCTTTCCTGGGGCTTAAGCCTTTCCTTTGTGTGTGTCATAGTGTTCTTCTCCAGATCTCTAAAGATTCTCATGATTTGCTCACTGTAGTCATGATGTTATCTATCTTAATTATGGATCTTTGGATAATGAAATGTTTCCATGCTGAAATGTATCTGCAAGGGTTCCCCAAAAGGGTAGAGAATCTGGGAGCAAATGATAATATCTGAGCATCTCAATTTATTGTCCATCTTGCAGCCATAGGACCCTAAAGTTAACTGTTTCCTTGCTGTTTTGCAGACTGCATATGTCTGAAATAACTATCAAGCAAGGAGACAACAATCTTTTAAACAATGTATTGAGATACATTGGCTAAGATTATCAATCTCTCAGGGTCTATTTTACTATCTGTCCTGAAAATGATCTTTTGATGGGAATGAAAATCTACCAAATTAATAACCAAAAGAGAAGGGGACAATCTTATAAGTCGGTATCCTATACAAATCTTAACTTAAAGGCATAGCTTGAAGACAATCAGCTAATTTTATTGTAAGCACATTTCTTTCAACATTGTAAAATAATGCATTGGCAAATTAACATAAATACTGTTTTAGTTCATCACAGAAATAGAATATATTTTATACTGCGTGCTATAGAATGAAGCTAAATATTTAAAGAGTTATATTTTGAGGGCCTGAGAAACATTACATATGTACAGAGGAAGAGGAAAAGACAAGAGGCAAGCTGTACTTACACTGTAGTACAGTGGAAGTGCCCAGAAGTTGGGGGAGACACACTTCGACTCTGTGACAATGTTATTCCTACACTAGAGGCCCAGTGCACAAAATTCGTGCAGGGGGCAGGGGTGTCTCTCAGCCTGGCCTGCATCCTCTCCAATCTGGGACCCTTCAGGGGATGGGACCTAACTCGACAGTCCAACATTCCTCTTAATCTAGGACCACTAGCTTCTAACCATTTGCCTGCCTGCCTGCCTGATTGCCCCTAACCTCCTCTGCCTGCTGGCCTGATCACCCCCAGCTGCCCTCCCCTGCCAGCCTGATTGCCCTGTAACTGCTCTCCCCTGCTGGCATATTCACCTCAACTACCCTCCCCTGCAGGCCTGGTTGTCCCAGCTCCCCTCCCCTGCCAACCTAATCACCCCCAGCTGCCCTCCTCTGCTGGCCTGATCACCCTCTAACTATCCTCCCCTGCCAGACTGATGGCCCTCAGCTGCCCTCCCCTGCAGGCTTGATTTCACCCCTAAGTGCTTGCTCCCCTGCCAGCCTGATCATCCCTAAACTGCCTCTGCCTCAGCCCCCACCACCATGGCTTTTTCTGGAAGGAAGTCGGACATCCAGTCAACCCAGTCTAATTAGCATATTACCCTTTTATTAGCATAGATGTTATTGATGCTTTTGGTGTGCTCTGAGTTCAATCCCCTTCTCTGCTCTGCACCCCAAGAGGCTAACAATCTGCAAACTACAATACAGCTAACACCCACCCATGTGATGGGAGGTGGGAGGGCAGGAAGGATAATGACAAAGTATCTCTTCTCCTTATTGCTGCAGGCTCCCCCAAATAGTAACCTCTGTTCCTAGCTATCCCTGGACACCTCTTTCAACCTCTCTGACTGGCATCTCCTGGGTCCTGTTAATGTCACTGCCTTCTAGTGGATGGTGCAACTTCCCTCTGTTGCTAATTTTAGGTTGTGTTTCTAAACACTGGAGGCTTCTTAGCACTTCTGACACTCCTTTAACTAGTTCCTTGTATCAAATTCACTTGAAGGAGGTCAGCATGTATTCGCAATGAGATCTTATATATACTAAATCTATCTGAATCCCAGTTTCTTCATCTGTAGAATAAATTCAACAATAATATTCTTTGATGTTTTTCCAGTGACTAAGGTAATGTAGATAGCAGAGGTCACCAGCTATGACTCGGCAGACAAATGCAGCCCACTCCTGGTTTTTATATGGAA